TATCAAGTAGAATTTTAGTGTTGACATATGTACAGTAATCACAGACTTCAGAAAAGTATTCGAGAATAGGTCGTATAAGAAACAGTAAAGAGGTTAGATAATGTTATATAATGTATCATGTAAGTTTTCCCAAAGACAAAATATCTTTTAGATGTAGAATTGTACAGACAGGTTTATGTCCTGAGATGAGTGAGTGAGTATGGTTTTACGCCGCTTTTAGCAATATTCCAGCAATATCACGGCGGGGGACACCAGAAATGGGCTTCACACATTGTACCCATGTCGGGAATCGAACCCGGGTCTTCGGCGTGACGAGCGAACGCTTTAACCACTAGGCTACCCGACCGCCCTCCTGAGATGAAATATCACCGAGGGCATTTATAGGTATTTGAACGACGAAGAGAAGAATTATGACAGGCCATAAATTAGGTTTAGCAACATGATTTGAGAAAACTTTAGGCCCATTTGTAGAGGTTATTTTTTTATGATTCAAGGCTTTACACAAGTTAGCAGATGATGATGCGCCAATATAAGCGTCAACTTGAGTTAAACGAGTTGATTTTTTTAGATTATCGTCCGAAGGAATAAAAAAGGACCTAATACCGAACCTTGGGGTACTACGTGAGTGAGTGAGTGAGTGAGGTTTTACGCCGCTTTTAGCAATATTCCAGCAATATCACGGCGGGGGACACCAGAAATGGGCTTCACGCATTGTACCCATGTCGGGATTCGAACCCGGGTCTTCGGCGTGACGAGCGAACGCTTTAACCCCTAGGCTACCCGACCGCCCCTGGGGTACTACGACTGAAGAACATGTCATTTAGAAATACTTTTTGTTTCCGTCTGGAAAAGTAATTATATTAAATCTTTTTAGTGATATGAGTCATTAATACCTTATTTTCAAATATATATTACAAGCCTTTATGCCAGACACAATCGAAAGCTGCAGTGACATCAAATAATATCATACAATAGAAGTAATGCTAGTCAACAAATGTTATTGTAATTTCTAAAGATTTTTGTCCGTGAGTAGCCAGAAATATGCTCAAGAAAAACACACCAAAACAGTAATAATTACGCCGCATCTGATGCATAAATATTATTTTTCGAGAATTTTTGGGAACACTATATTTGTTTCTGCTCCACTCCCTATGACAACCATGATACCCGATTGAAATATATCACCAACGAATAACCATTTCTTGTTTGTTTCTATTTTAGCCATCAAACTTGAGCGTATACGTTCTGTTGCCAAAAAGAATACATGAAGTCATCTCTCTCTCTCTCTCTCTCTTTTACTCTCAAAAGCATAATTTCTGCACGTTGAAGCTTGCATCTATAGCGACTGCAGAGTTTTAAAGTTTACTATTTAATTAGTTAATAGCCTAATGTTGTAGTTCATGCACAGATCAATGACATCACGTCGTCTGTATGTCAGACAATGAATCAGGACCTCACCTGTTAAGCATGAACCTTTTCAAGTGGACATCGGTATGTTTGCACAGGCACAATTGAGCCTTTCCCCTAGATCACACAATGTACGCTGTGTGTGATCATGTTTTAATGAGTTTGTACATGACTACATTATTGGATAGGACATTGACTTTATATCAATATCACCAAGGAAACTGCACGGGGGGAGATTCGGATATAGCTGTTGACGTTTAGTTTGTTGCATGATTTGGGCAGCTTTCATGTCAACATGCCAGTTTACCCTTCGTGGACATATGACATTAAAGATGAACCACTTATTTGGAAACAAAACATTGCGAATGAATGCAGAGGGGACGTCAGCATTTGACCTTGGAATATTAACTGCCGGGCAAAATAAAGTATCTTGAAAATTATATTTGACCAAAATATTACTAACGTTATCAAACCGTTACTAGGGTGAAAGCAGTCGTTGAAACACAGAAGTATGATACCCATATCAAATACATCACCACCGAATAACCATATCTTTTTTGTTTTCATGTTTTGCTACCATCAAACATGGGTGTATACTATCTTTTCCCCGGCAGTGTATATCTAAAAAGTACTACGATTGCAAACAAAACTTAAATTAATTATTTTATATGTGAACGATTTACCAGTTTGCAGTTATATTGTGACTTGCTACATTATGTAGGGGAGGTGAGGTAAAATGGGGTTTAATTACGTTGCGTCCAAGATTATTGCACTTATATAGCGACGTGCATGCACGTGTATGTGTGTGTGTGTGGCTGCTTGTACTAGTCCGGACTATCGCCGATTTATAGTGCTAGCACACTGAGATATCATGCCGCAGTTTAACATGAATACCCCACTCAGACACAGTATACTGACTCCGAGCCGACCAGTCCTTGTTTTAATCCCTTAATGCCGAGCGCCAGGTAGGGTAACAACAAGTACCATCTTTTAACGTCTTTTGGTATGACGCGGTCGGGGATCGAACCCCGCACCTTCCGCTCTCCGGGCTGACGCTCTACCATTAGACCACGGAGGCGGTCACATTATGTAGCATCTCGTCAACATTTGTAAACTGAATTGTTCTTAATTGAGGCTGTGGTTGTGCCCTGTCATGGGTTTATGCCAAATAGCATGTGAGCATATGCCGTTTTGTTATCTTCGTTAAATATAGATTACGTATGCAATCGTTGCGATAAAGAGACGTGTAGATTAACGCTTGTGAACAACTGAATACTAGTAAATATTTTTTATTCCGTACAGAAAGTGTTACATATGTTATAATCCAATTGCTATAAATATTAGATATGTTTAGGTTACGATTTAATTTCCTAGTCACGAATGTTCGTAGAGTCCGTTAAACTTGAATTTTGTCTTGGCACATTAAAATAACACTAGAGCAAGAGGTATTTTATCAACATTTGTTTAAGATGGTAGTAGCATATCGCTACAAGACAACACAATCCGAAATTCTTTTGATGGAGTGAGTGAGTTGGGTTTAACGCCGCTTTTAACAATATTCCAGTTATATCACGGCGTGTCAGCTTAATGTGGGAGGAAAGCCCGAAGTGATGCAGGTCTCACTTCGATGAAACCCACGAGCACGGGTATGGTGCTGACAAACCTAGAAACATAATCTGGGTGAACCGGGATTCGAACCCACAATCATAGGTTTCTGGCGTGCCCAAGGGACGCAACTCTGCACAGCGAATCGCGGCGCCTTAGACGACTGGGCCACCGTGCCCCTCTTTTAATTGAACACACACACCCTCCCATCCCCAGGATTGTAATGCTCTATTAGGGTTTAATTTAGCCATTAGTTGGTGGAGATTTGATATACCCGGATCCAAACATAAATACATCGGTACCAAGTCAGAAGGTGCCGTCATTCTCTGTGAAGGGATGCGTTCCTCAGCGGGGTTAGGATCCGTGGATCGCGGTTCGAATCTCGCCCTGCTTTTCATTGGTTTGTCAGCACCAAATCGTTAGCATGTGTCTGTTCCTTAGCATGCTACACATCACGAAGGGATGGAACAACGACATGGCTTTAACATGTTTAAACCATACCAATATCCTGGGTTTTACGAAAACGCCAAAGTTTTCCTTCCAAATTGAGCCGACACGCCCTGATATACATGAAGTAGTGTTCGACGCGGCGTGTAACCCAACTCACTCAGTGTATAGGGTCAATGTGTAAGTCTCTTTAATACCTGCCCACATATATACAGAAAATGTACAAATGACAAGTTAACTCTTTTGTAGGTATGTTTTATGGACAACCTTGTCACAGTGACATACATGTAAAAGTACTTCCCTTGTTAATCGACCCGTGAAGATCCGCGTAGAGAATACATATTCAGCAACCCATGTTGTTTGAGGCGACAAACGGGATCGGGTGGTCAGATTGGCTGGCCTGGTTGATGCATGTCATCGTTCCTAATTGCGTAGATCGACGACCGCCGTCATACAGCTGGAATATCGCGTGTGCAGCGTTAAACAACAAACAAATAAATAAATAAACAAATCAAAATCCCATATTATTTGAGTTGTATTGACTAATCTTGGGTGTAAGCCCCGTCGACGTGTCGCCATAGATTTCACGCACAAAATCCGTTAAATTAAGAATTAAGAACTTTTTACTTAATTCGGTTATGTTCACTCAATGGTTTCAGTGCGTTACCGTATTCTTACGGAAGCCTTTCAGGGCCATTTGTTTTTTCTGGAAATTTCAAGTTAGTATCTATGTTATGCTATGTTGAAATTTCAAGATACATAAGTTAATACATAAGTTAATATCTCAAGATTTCAAGTTATTATCTTGAAATTTCAAGATCATTATATTGAAATTTCAAGTTAGTATCTTGAAGTTTCAACTTATGTATCTTGAAATTTCAAGTTAGTATCTATGCTAGGCTATGTTGAAATTTCAAGATGCTACGTTGAAATTTCAAGATACATATGTTGAAATTTCAAGATATTAACTTGAAATTTCAACTGATGTATCAACTTATTATCTTGAAATTTCAAGAAAAAAAGAACGAAAGGCCCCAAAAGGCTCCCGTATTCTCGCTTCAGTATGTATTATATTTTACACTAACAATGACAACACACAAAGTTCACGCAAAACGATTACATACGTACATGTATCTATTATGAGTGTAAAAAGAACAAATTGAAAACAAACATTTATAATGTGTAAAGAAATCCTCGTGAAGGAGCATCAGGGCATGACGTTGTTTGACATTACTAAACATCATTGACGTTACTTAACATCGCTTGACGTTACTAAACATCACTGACGTTACTTAACATCGCTTGACGTTACTTAACATCGCTGACGTAACTTAATATCGCTGACGTTACTTAACATCGCTTGACGTAACTTAACATCGCTGACGTTATTAAACCTTAGCTGACGTTACTTAACATCGCTTGACGTTACTAAACATCGCCAAAGTTACTTAACATCGCTGATGTTACTAACATCGTTGACGTTACTAAACATCAATGACGTTACTTACATCGCTTGACGTTACTTAACATCACTGACGTTACTTAACATCGCTTGACGTTACTTAACATCGCTGACGTAACTTAATATCGCTGACGTTACTTAACATCGCTTGACGTAACTTAACATCGCTGACGTTATTAAACCTTAGCTGACGTTACTTAACATCGCTTGACGTTACTAAACATCGCCAAAGTTACTTAACATCGCTGATGTTACTAACATCGTTGACGTTACTAAACATCAATGACGTTACTTACATCGCTTGACGTTACTTAACATCGCTGACGTTACTTAACATCGCTTGAGGTTACTTGATATCGGCTGACGTTAAATTACTTTCCTTGACGTCATTTACATACGGAACCTTACCCTAAAAATCGCTTCACGCTACTAGCATCGTTGGAGATACTTAACATCGCCCTAGGTAAAGTTATATCTCTTGATGTTTCTCAACCCTTGAGGCTACTTAGATCCAATGATGGTGGAGATCAGACACAGCACGAAGGTCACCACGCTCCCTGTCACGGCATCAGCACCTGGAGAGAAAATGTGTACACATGCAAAACTTACTTCGTGCATGCTATTCGTTTAATCGTTCAACGTACAATCGTTGTAATTAACGAAATCCATTTCAAATTCATTTCGAACTTTTCGAGAATGATAATTGTCCTTGTCAGATTAAAACTATAATGGGGGCGATGGGGTAGCTTAGTGGTTAAAGCATTCGCTCGTCGCACCGAGGCCCGGGTTCGATTCCCCACAGGGGTACAATGTGTTAAGCCCAGTTCTGGTGTTCCCCGCCGTGATATTGCTGGAATGTCGCTAAAAGCGGCGTAAGACCATACTCACTCACTCACTCACTAAAACTATAATGTAACAGAAGGTGGCGAGATCATCCGAGATAAGTATCTCTGTTTCCGTCATTCCAAATTTATTGATGAGTTCGCTACACAGCGGAAGGTACGGGTCAGCCGATTCTTGTCATATGAGGCTCGATTAAATATATTCTGGGTTTACATGACTTTTTTCAAAATTGACTGAGTGGAAGGGTTCGCAGGTTAAACACATATAACAGTATACTTAGATTGAATGACGTGTGTGTTATACAATCAGACTGAAATCAAACATTTCATGAACTTGCTCAATCTTTCAGTCTTTTCGTGAAGTGACTATACAGCTTGTCATTAGGTGAAATCAATTGTTTAGTGACTGTCATTTCTTGAACTGAAAGCAATGTTAGTGTCTCTTTTACATTACCTGTCTGATACCACATCAGTATCGTAATCCTTGATCAAACAACACTCGCTAACTACTCCAATTAGATGCTCATTGTTGAGACCAAGTTACAATGGTCTATTTTCCTTTCCACAGTTACATGAAAACCGTGGCCCCACCCAAGTTGAACGTATGGTCACGAGAGACCGCATACGGTTATTTGCGGGTCAACCTGGGGATAACTTCTTTCAGTGGCATTTAGAAGTTGGTGTGATGAAGTAAGACGAGTTCTATGGATGAACATCTTCTTTATTACAATTAGTGCGACGTTTCGGTGTAGATCCTAACACCTTTATCAAGCAAGTGATCATCACTTCCTTGATAAAGGTGTTAGCTATAGGATCTACACCGAAACGTCGCACTAATTGTAATAAAGAAGTTGTTCATCCATAGAACTCGTCTTACAATTAGTGCGACGTTTCGGTGTAGATCCTAACACCTTTATCAAGCAAGTGATCGTCTTGCTTGATAAAGGTGTTAGCTATAGGATCTACACCGAAACGTCGCACTAATTGTAATAAAGAAGTTGTTTATCCATAGAACTCGTCTTACAATTAGTGCGACGTTTCGGTGTAGATCCTAACACCTTTATCAAGCAAGTGATCATCACTTGCTTGATAAAGGTGTTAGCTATAGGATCTACACCGAAACGTCGCACTAATTGTAATAAAGAAGTTGTTCATCCATTATGATAGAGCTCGTCTTACTTCAACCTGGGGATAATGTTCCTGTTCCCATAGAACTGGTGGGAGGTGGAAGTGACCACAGAAATAAACTTGGTTCCATAGTGGACATAAATGACAGTTATCAGTACACGATTATCCCAATTGGTACCTATTCCAGAAACCAATTTGAAATGTGCTACAGCAACTCTTAATGAGCCAGACATAAGCAAGGATACCATTTGTTAACAGTGCTTCCAAAATAATAATTATATAAAAAGGGAGATAACAATTTTAGGGACGCGCGACAATACAAATCAGGACATTTATTTTAACAAACCTTATAGAGGGAAGACTAACATTTAGTCTTTGGAATAATGTTATCTCATCTGAAAAGATATATCTACAAAAAAGAGTAGAATCTAAATAGATCCCAGAACAATCCTTAATTTCCTCAACCTTGCCTCAGCATTCTAGACTTGAATTGGACTCTTTTTTATATATATTCTCTAGGGTATGGGAGACAAAGTCACACAGAATTTTAAGGGAGGCTATGCTTACCACATCCAGGGATGTTATTCATGGTTGTCGTGGCAACAGCTATTGCATTGTTGATCGTGGTCTTCAGCCCCGGTACGTCACAGCCGCTGAGAGCGTCTTTCATGCACGCGAGGGAAGATGTGTACGCCCTGAAATGTGCGAGGTTAAGGTCACAACGTCCGAGGGTTAATAGTAGAGTGACTCGGTGAGTGAATGTGATTTTACGCCACAATATTCCAGCAATATCACGGCGGTCTGTAAATAGTCGAGGCGAGGCCAGGAAAACAAGATGTTGACAGTACATGCAACGATCCATATTTTTAAAATAATAAGTAAGTCCACCGATATTTTTTTCTGAGAGTTTTTTTTTAAAGATATGTATAAAAAACGTACATAATTGTGGAAAGCAAGTGAACATTTTACAGTCTCTCTAGCTTATGTTTAATGACCGATCAGCTCTCATGGCAGGAACGTAAAACCCCGTCTAAGTTGTTGCTGTGACATGACTGTAAGACAGTGCATCCATCTATTTCGGAGCGACTGTGTACATGGTCACTCAGCTTGAATTAAATATTTTATGTTTGCTTCTACTGCTGACCAGCTTCCTGAGCGCTTGTAAAATTATTTCAGTGGTATCACTACAGTGAGTGAGTGAGTGAGTGAGTGAGTTGGGTTTAACGCCGCTTTTAACAGTATTCACGTTATATCACGGCGTGTCAGCTTAATGTGGGAGGAAAGCCCGAAGTGATGCAGGTCTCAGACGTTTACCTCTTCAGTGAAACCCACGAGCACGGGTATGGTGCTGACAAACCTAGAAACATAATCAGGGCGAACTGGGATTCGATCCCACAATCATAGGTTTCTGGCGTGCCCAAGGTACGCAACTCCGTGCCCCCGATATCACTACAGATGAATCCTGACTCAGCCTCGAAGTTCTAATTCGAACCTTGAGAATTGAACCGTGGCGTCTAAGGTGACAAGGGCAAACTTTAACTGAAGACATAAATCTGTCTGCGCAGCGAATTGCGACTGACAAGCACTGTGGTGGATGACGGGATAGTGTACTAAATATGCTATTGATTACAGATTTACTATGACATTATCCAATGCAAATAAAAAGTGAAATCCAGAGGTAGATAGTCACGTGTCATCGTGGTCTTAACCAGATTCAAGTATTTACAAGCAGCTGTCATAAAACTGGAAGTGAGTGAGATGTGAGTGTATGAGTGAGTAAGTGTTGCTATAAGATGTGTAGGTATAAGATGTGAGTGAGTGTAGGTAGAAGATGTGAGTGAGTGTAGGTATAAGATGTGAGTAAGTGTTGCTATAACTTGTGAGCGAGTGCAGGTATAAGATGTGAGTGAGTGTAGGTATACGATGTGAGTGAGTGCAGGTATAAGATGTGAGTGAGTGTAGCTATAAGATGTAAGTGAGTGTAGCTATAAGATGTAAGTGAGTGAGTGTAGCTATAAGATGTAAGTGAGTGAGTGTAGCTATAAGATGTAAGAGAGTGATGGTAGCTATAAGATGTAAGTGAGTGAGTGTAGCTATAAGGTGTAAGTAATTGAGTGTAGCTATAAGGTGTAAGTGAGTGAGTGCAGCTATAAGATGTAAATGAGCGAGTGTAGCTATAAGATGTAAGTGAGTGAGTGTAGGTATAAGATGTAAGTTTGTGTAGCTATAAGATGTGAGTGAGTGTAGCTTTAAGATGTAAGTGAGTGTAGACATAAGATATATGAGTAAGTGAGTGTAGCTATAAGATGTGACTGAGTGAGTGTAGCTATAAGATGTAAGTGAGTGAATGTAGCTATAAGATGTGAGTGAGTGTAGCTATAAGATGTAAGTGAGTGAGTGTAGCTATAAGGAGTAAGTGAGTGAGTGTAGCTGTAAGATGTGAGTCAGTGAGTGTAGCTATAGGTTGTAAGAAGGTGTAGCTATACGATGTAAGAAAGTTATGGTAGCTATAAGATATGAGCGAGAGAGTGTAGCTATAAGATGTAAGTGAGTGTAGACATAAGATATATGAGTGAGTGAATGTAGATATAAGATGTCAGCGAGTGAGTTTAGCTATAAATGTGAGTAAGTGAGTGTAGCTATAAGATGTAAGTGAGTAAGTGTAGCTATAGGATGTAAGTGAGTGAGTGTAGGTATAAGATGTAAGTGAGTGTAGCTATAAGATGTGAGTGAGTGTAGGTATAAGATGTGAGTGAGTGTAGGTATAAGATGTGAGTGAGTGTAGGTTTAAGATGTGAGTGAGTTTAGGTATAAGATGTGAGTGAGTGTAGGTATAAGATGTGAGTGAGTGTAGGTATAAGATGTGAGTGAGTGTAGCTATAATAGGTGAGTGAGTGTAGGTATAAGATATGAGTGAGTGTAGGTATAAGATGTGAGTGAGTGTAGCTATAATATGTGAGTGAGTGTAGGTATAAGATGTGAGTGAGTGTAGCTATAAGATGTGAGTGAGTGTAGGTATAAGATGTGAGTGAGTGTAGGATAAGATCTGAGTGAGTGTAGGTATAAGATGTGAGTGAGTGAGTGTAGCTATAAGATGTAAGTGAGTGTAGGTATAAGATGTGAATGAGTGTAGGTATAAGATGTAAGTGAGTGTAGGTATAAGATGTGAGTGAGTGAGTGTAGGTATAAGATGTAAGTGAGTGTAGCTATAAGATGTGATTGAGTGTGGGTATAAGATGTGAATGAGTGTAGGTATAAGATGTGAGTGAGTTTAGGTATAAGATGTAAGTGAGTGTAGGTATAAGATGTGAGTGAGTGAGTCTAGGTATAAGATGTAAGTGAGTGTAGCTATAAGATGTGAGTGAGTGTAGCTATAATATGTGAGTGAGTGTAGCTATAAGATGTGTGTGAGTGTAGGTATAAGATGTGAGTGAGTGTAGCTATAATATGTGAGTGAGTGTAGGTATAAGGTGTGAGTGATTGTAGGTATAAGATGTGAGTGAGTGAGTGTAGGTATAAGATGTGTGTGAGTGAGTGTAGGTATAAGATGTCAGTGAGTATAGGGATAAGATGTGATTGAGTGTAGGTATAAGAAGTGAGTGCGTGTAGGTATAAGACGTGAGTGAGTGTAGGTATAAGATGTGAGTGAGTGAGTGTAGGTATAAGATGTAAGTGAGTGTAGCTATAAGATTAGGTGAGTGTAGGTATAAGATGTGAATGAGTGTAGGTATAAGATGTAAGTGAGTGTAGCTATAAGATGTGATTGAGTGTGGGTATAAGATGTGAATGAGTGTAGGTATAAGATGTGAGTGAGTTTAGGTATAAGATGTAAGTGAGTGTAGGTATAAGATGTGAGTGAGTGAGTCTAGGTATAAGATGTAAGTGAGTGTAGCTATAAGATGTGAGTGAGTGTAGCTATAATATGTGAGTGAGTGTAGCTATAAGATGTGTGTGAGTGTAGGTATAAGATGTGAGTGAGTGTAGCTATAATATGTGAGTGAGTGTAGGTATAAGGTGTGAGTGATTGTAGGTATAAGATGTGAGTGAGTGAGTGTAGGTATAAGATGTGTGTGAGTGAGTGTAGGTATAAGATGTCAGTGAGTATAGGGATAAGATGTGATTGAGTGTAGGTATAAGAAGTGAGTGCGTGTAGGTATAAGACGTGAGTGAGTGTAGGTATAAGATGTGAGTGAGTGTAGCTATAATATATGAGTGAGTGGAGTTATAAGATGTGAGTGAGTGTAGCTATAAGACGTCAGTGAGTGTAGGTATAAGATCTGAGTGAGTGTAGGTATAAGATGTGAGTGAGTGAGTGTAGGTATAAGATGTAAGTGAGTGTAGCTATAAGATGTGAGTGAGTGTAGGTATAAGATGTAAGTGAGTGTAGGTATAAGATGTGAGTGAGTGTGGGTATAAGATGTGAGTGAGTGAGTGTAGCTATAAGGAGTGAGTGAGTGTAGCTATAAGATGTGAGTAAGTGAGTGTAGCTATAAGATGTAAAAGGTTGTAGCTACAAGATTTACGAGAGTGATGGTAGCTATAAGATGTGAGCGAGAGAGTGTAGCTATAAGATGTAAGTGAGTGTAGACATAAGATATATGAGTAAGTGAGTGTAGATATAAGATGTAAGCGAGTGAGAGTAGCTATAAGATGTAAGTGAGTGAGTGTAGCTATAAGATGTGAGTGAGTGAGAGTAGCTATAAGGTGTAAGTGAGTGAGTGTAGACATAAGATATGTGAGTGAGTGAGTGTAGATATAAGATGTGAGCGAGTGAGTGTAGCTATACGATGTGAGTGAGTGTAGCTATAAGATGTGAGTTATTAAGTGTATCTTTAAGAGGTGAGTGAGTTAGTGTAGCTATACGATGTGAGTGAGTGAAGCTATAAGAAGTAAGTGAGTGAGTGTAGCTATAAGATGTGAGTGAGTGAGAGTAGCTATAAGGTGTAAGTGAGTGAGTGTAGACATAAGATATGTGAGTGAGTGAGTGTAGATATAAGATGTGAGCGAGTGAGTGTAGCTATAAGATGTGAGTGAGTGTAGCTATAAGATGTGAGTTATTGAGTGTAGCTATAATATGTGAGTGAGTTAGTGTAGCAATACGATGTGAGTGAGTGAAGCTATAAGAAGTAAGTGATTGAGTGTAACTATAAGATGTAAGTGAGTGTAGCTATACGATGTAAGAGAGTGATGGTAGTTATAAGATGTAAGTGAGTGAGTGTAGGTACAAGACGTAAGTGAGTGTAGCAATAAGGTGTAAGTGAGTGTAGCTATAAGATGTGGGCGAGTGAGTGTGTGTAGCTATAAGATGTGAGTGAGTGAGAGAGTGTAGATATAAGATGTAAGTGAGTGAGTGTAGATATAAGATGTAAGTGAGTGTAGCAATAAGGTGTAAGTGAGTGTAGCTATAAGATGTGAGCGAGTGAGTGTAGCTCTAAGATGTGAGCGAGTGAGCGAGTGTGGCTCTAAAATGTGAGCGAGTGAGTGAGTGTAGCTATAAGATGTGAGTCAGTGAGTGAGTGTAGCTATAAGATGTGAGTGAGTGTAGATATAAGATGTGTCAGTGAGTGTAGCTATAAGACGTGAGTGAGTGAGTGTAAATATAAGATGTGATTGACTGATGGTAGCTATAAGATGTAAGTGAGTGAGTGAGTGAGTGTAGCTATTAGATGTTAGTGAGTGAGTGATACGCCGTTTCAAGCACTTTTCCAGCCATATCACGGACGTGTTTTACACCCTGTACCCATGTGGGGAATCGAACAGCATGACAAGCCAACGCGTTAACCACCGACCCCGACTTTATAATGTTTATACAATTCATTCACTCAAAATATATACAAAAAGGTATATTGTCTGTGTCAATAACAACTTTCGAACAGAACAGCAAGTTATGGAAGAATATGAATATGAGTAAAGCAATATTTTCTTACTCGCACGTAGCTGTAGTTGTAGTGCAAGACAAATAGTTACAGGCACCGTCCGCACTTGCATACAGTGCAGCTGAAACAGATTAATGATCACTCTGAAGTAATGGCTTCATCAAATATCGGCAAAACATTATCCGTCATCCACAAAATACCTGTCAAACATTACCCTTCATCCACAAAATGCCTGTCAAACATTATCCTTCATCCACAAAATGCCTGTCAAACATTATCTTTCATCCACAAAATGCCTGTCAAACATTATCTCATCCACAAAATAACTGTCAAACATTATCCTTCATCCACAAAAAACCTGTCAAACATTACCCTTCATCCACAAAACACCTGTCAAACATTATACTTCATCCACAAAATGCCTGTCAAACATTATCCTTCATCCACAAAATGCCTGTCAAACATTATCTTTCATCCACAAAATGCCTGTCAAACATTATCTCATCCACAAAATAACTGTCAAACATTATCCTTCATCCACAAAAAAACCTGTCAAACATTACCCTTCATCCACAAAACACCTGTCAAACATTATACTTCATCCACAAAATACCTGTCAAACATGTCAAACAAATTCGTCATTACAATTAGGAGCCACATTTCGGTGTAGGCTCTGACACTGTGTTCTTGCTTGATGATGGTGTTAGAACCTTTACCTGCGCCTCCATCCATAAAAATACATGTCAAACAAAATCCATTATCCACCTAAAACAAGCTACTTCCTAGAAATCCAGTTGTTTCGCTATTCGCTTTCTAAAGGGGTTTGTGCGGATGTCATTTGTCTTCGGTGTGTATGGTCAGAATGGCAACTGTCCTGGGTGTCTATAGGCCGGATGACACCTACCGTGATGTGTGTGGTCAGAATGGCAACTGTCCTGGGTGTATATAGACCGGAAGGCACCTACCGTGATGTGTGTGGTCAGGATGGCAACTGTCATGGGTGTATATAGGCCGTATTGCAACTACCGGTATTTGCATGGTCAGGATGGCAACTGTCCTGGGTGTCCATAGGCCGGATGACACCTACCGTGATGTGTGTGGTCAGGATGGCAATAGTTCTGGGTGTATATAGACCGGAAGGCACCTACCGTGATGTGTGTGGTCAGGATGGCAACTGTCCTGGGTGTATATAGGCCGTATTGCAACTACCGGTATTTGCATGGTCAGGATGGCAACTGTCCTGGGTGTATGTAGACCGGATGGCACCTACCATGGTGTGTATGGTCAGGATGGCAACTGTCCTGGGAGTATATAGACCGGATGACACCTACCATAGTGTGTATGGTCAGGATGGCAACTGTCCTGGGAGTATATAGACCGGATGGCACCTACCATGGTGTGTATGGTCAGGATGGCAACTGTCCTGGATGTATATTGACCGGATGGCACCTACCATGGTGTGTATGGTCAGGATGGCAACTGTCCTGGATGTATATAGACCGGATGGCACCTACCATGGTGTGTATGGTCAGGATGGCAACTGTCCTGGGAGTATATAGACCGGATGGCACCTACCATGATGTGTATGGTCAGGATGGCAACTGTCCTTGGTGTATATAGGTGAGGTGAAATTGGGTTTAACGTCGCGTCCAAGATTATTGCACTTATATAGCGACGTGCATGTACGTTTGTGTGTTTGTGTGGCTGCTTGTACTAATCCGGACTGATGCCGATTTATAGTGCTAGCACACTGAGATATCATGCGGCAGTTTTTAACATGAATACCCTACTCAGACACAGTATACTGACTCCGAGCCGACCAGTCCTTGTTTTAGCCCCTTAATGCCGAGCGCCAGACAGGGCAGCAACAAGTACCCTCTTTGAACGTCTTTTGGTATGACGCGGCCGGGGATCGAACCCCGGACCTTCCGCTCTCCGGGCGGACACTCTACCACTGGACCACGGAGGCGGTCTCCTTGGTGTATATAGACCGGATGGCACCTACTATGGTGTGTATGGTCAGGATGGCAACTATCTTGGGAGTATATAGACCGGAATGCACCTACCATAGTGTGTATGGCCAGGATGGCAACTGTCCTGGATGTATATAGACCGGATGGCACCTACCATAGTGTGTATGGTCAGGATGGCAACTGTCCTGGATGTATATAGACCGGATGGCACCTACCATAGTGTGTATGGTCAGGATGGCCACTATCCTGGATGTACATGTATATAGACCGGATGGCACCTACCATAGTGTGTATGGTCAGGATGGCAACTGTCCTGGATGTATATAGACCGGATGGCACCTACCATGGTGTGTAAGGTCAGGATATGGATAAGATATATATAACCAAATTAGGTGCACAAAGCAGATTAACAGGCACTTGCATAACGCATATACTACCAGGACTTACAACGCACCTGGTACAATATTAACATAAAAATGTACTAATAAACCAAGCTAAGATAATAGTGACTAGGAATATTGACATTAGAGAGGACAGGTACAACAGTCGTAGCATAGGTGGTTGCGTGAACGACTACAAATCAATAGGAAGCATGTTCGTTTCTCGAATTTTTGAAAGTGTTCGGCTCATAAATGTGACTAATAGAATATCTGTCATGCAGACGCTCACAATGAAATTATGTCTGACTACTACGAAGGACCCATAACTTTTAACAGCCCATAAATTCTAAACAAGTTTTAAAAGCTCCATTTTAAAACACATTTGTTTATAGTGGATCACTGTAACATCTTCATCACAGCACGAAATAATCTCAGCTCTGGTGTTGAAGGTACTATTACCCAAACTCACACGAACCTAGCTGCCACATGCCTCATCGATTGAAATCAATATTTACTTTAGCGGAAGGTAAAATCGAGGGCAACCCATCGATGTTATACCAACAAGGATCATGCTGTTAATACACTAGACAGGCCGCCCATCACATACATCATATGGTATTCAAAATCGTGTTTTACATTTTGGTCCAGCGTTAAATAAACGCCATAAACTTTATGTTTAAGTAGCTTCAGAATTGGATTGAAAGATTTGAAAAAATATGACAAAACATCAATTATATGTTCTGCAGGGTTGTTTCAACTGGACCTAGTTGTTTGCCAGTCCAAGATCAGTTTGAATTCTTCATAAACCAAAACTTTAAGATAATGTGCCGATTCCTCTCAGTAGGCAATAAAAACGACATGGTCCTTTCCATTAAAGACATATCTGCCAAAAGCAGATTCAATTATACGAACCCGACCATATCACGAGCATGTGTTTAAAAATCAATATCAAATAGTGATGACACGAGGTCTTCGCGAAAAACGTGAAAAATAAGTCAAACAGTCAAACTGTTGTCAAGATGAGGAGTTGAAGAAATACCATACATTAGGATGTCCACGATTTTAATAATTTCTTGCGCAGTTCCAACTTAGAATCATTCATAGCAGTTATATTCATATCAAACTTTTCCCATCCTCATTATTTCCAAATCATTGTTTCTGTCAATAAATACAAACTGAAACTGATAAAAAATAATCTTACCTAGGACACAAGCGGCGATGAGGATGCAGTTCATCTCTATCGGTTTACAGTTTCTTGGCAGACAGGATCCAGAGGCAAGTTAGAAACCCTATTATGCTTCTGATGCTGACAGTGAAGTGACCACGCCTATATAGCACACTGTTTCGTATTATTTCCATGGAGACATCATCAAGAGGTATTGCGAAATATGATTTCAGTTTGAGTCCTTTTATTTATTGCACAGCGTCTCCAAGCATAACAATGGATGACACATAGCTATGCGTGCAGGGATGTACACAACTCCTTTCTCTTTCGCAATATGCTGAGCCGTGTCATGGAAACTGACATGCTCGTATGAAAACGAGAAGGGTAACAACCAGGAATCCGGGGTCAGAGATAAAGAATATATTTATTTGGCACAGCTCACTACAAATATCTTCATTGTGAAATTAGATTGTATATTTGAAAGGCATTTAGATGTGATACAGATACGGAAGGGAATTTATGGATGTCAACTTCTTTTTTTCATCAGGAACACAACGTTTGGGAGTATATGCTTTCTCTTTCATCAGGTGATTTTATTCATAAATCTTGTTCGTGTCCTCATTGTCCTTCGGTGAGAATAATACCATGAATTGTTTGAAGTTAAGGCATTTTAGACAAATGGTAAATACGTTATCCGAAGAGATAATGCATCGTCCACTATGTGTTATGGCAACGCAATGACCTAATGCCTATTGCAACATCTTCGTAGACTGGTAGGGAACCCTTACTCTGAATTGATTAATGGTATTTGTTTGTTTAATGCCACATTCAGCAATATTCCAGCTGTATGACAGTCATCTGTAAATAATCGAGTTTGGACCCGACAATCCAGAGATTGACATCATACGCATCGATCTACGTAAATGGCATACGATGACATGTATCAACCAAGTCAGCCAGCCTGACCACCCGATCATGGGTGCAGAAGGGGTGGACCCACTTTACGCTTCAAAATTATTTATTTTTTATCTGTCCAAAAATATTTATAAACAAATATGTTGTTGAAAGATGTTTTTTTAAAGGTTGATGGTTGGTGAGAGTTTGGTGAGGGGTAGGGTTTCGGGTAGGGAAAAAGTAACTTGTCTGCCACAATTTAAAATGTAGATTGTTGCAAGGTGTCTATTTAAATGAAATATTTAGGCTTATAGTTTTAATTTAAAAAAAAAAAATAAAAAAAATTCAATTTTGTTTTCTTGTTTTGCAGCAGTAGCTGCAATAATATCTAGTCTCAATACAAAATGTCAGCCGCATCGAATATATGCTGTTTCGACCCCTAAGATCAACGGTTGACCAATTGATGAATAACGATGCAAATATAGGAAATGTAAATATTGGAAATACATGATGCAAATATGGTCACCAGGTGTCAAATGCATGCAACAGCGACATTGAAATGTGAATACAGGAAACAAAGAAACATGCCCATACATTTCGTAGGGGGGTTCAAATTGATTCGTGATCCATTGAACGTCAGTGATGGGTGTTATTGTGACAAGTGGGATTTTACTCCGCATCCATCAGTATGATTTTTCTGTTAGTTTGTTTGTTGTTTAACGCCGCCCTCAGCAATATTCCAGCTATATGACAGCGGTCTAAAGTCTCGGGGAAACATTCCGACGAACACATCTGACTTTTTGATTTTGAAAACGAATATAATCGAGGAACCCGAATGTGAAAAAATATGCCGCTTTATTTTCTTTTTGTGGCTAATTCTGTTGTTTGCGAGCGTGATGGCATCTGCAACCAAAGAGGTTATAGGTACAAAATGCTTCCCACAAGAGGGGCAGTCGGGTAGCCTAGTGGTTAAAGCGTTATCTCGTAACGCCAAGGACCCGGGTTCGATTCCCGACATGGGTACAATGTGTGAAGCCCATTTCTGGTGTCCCCCGCCGTGATATTGCTGGAATATTGCTAAAAGCGGCGTAAAACCATACTCACTCACTCACACACTCACTCACTATATCCCTTATAAATTCTAAACTCGTTTAAAAGCTCCATTTTAAAACACATTTGTTTATAGTGGACCACAGTAACATCTTTATCACAGCACGAAAGTCTGTATTCAATGAAAAATAATCTCAGCTCTGGTGTTGAAGGTACTATTATTATGTAACAAATCGAGCCCGGACCAGACAATCCAGTGATTAATATCATGAGCATCGATCCTCACAATTGGGATACGATGACATGCATTAACCAAGTCAGCGAGCCTGACCACCCGATCCCGTTAGTTGCCTCCTACGACAAACATAGTCGCCTGTTAGGTCAAGCATGCCTTTAGTATGGAGACTACCAGTGATACCAGCAAGGTACAACGACACACAGTCACTGTTGCTCTTTCGTAGTGCTACACATGCTGTTACGTTCGTATTATCGATGCTTTGAAAATGTCCACGACATCACATAAACGATAAGCAATAGCTGGCATATCGGGCTAAACTGTTCATAGTTTCCATTCGCGTCGTGACATTGTTCAGATATTTACAGTCAGCACTTCTGATGTGTATTGTGTCAGTTGACCTCACCCAAATTACACATTGTGTGAACACACACGGAACACCTTCATACCTGTTTGTCACTGGTGGTGATTGGATTTAGATGTCGGACATGTCAAATTGTAATCAGAGTTACTTCCCTTAGTTCCCTGAAACCTTCCCGAGCAATGGACTGAGCCTTGTCATGGCTGATCTCTTCCAAATCAGCTTTTTGCCTCTGGTACGATACCACTGTGAGGACAACTCCACAGAAGGACGCGTAAGGCGAACGTGTTAATCAGATAATCAACATTGAGACTTCTAAAGTCTCGGGGAAACATTCCGACGAACACATCTGACTTTTGGATTTTGAAAACGAATATAATCGAGGAAACCCGAATGTGAAGAAATATGCCGCTTTATTTTCTTTTTGTGGCTAATTCTGTTGTTTGCGAGCGTGATGGCATCTGCAACCAAAGAGGTTATATGGACGGTATATTTGTGTTCTTTGGCGGTTTGAGATGTAATTTCCGAATCTAGGCGGTACAAAATGCTTCGCACAAGAGGGACGGTCGGGTAGCCTAGTGGTTAAAGCGCTATCTCGTAACGCCGAGGACCCGGGTTCGGTTCCCGACATGGGTACAATGTGTGAAGACAATTTCTGGTGTCCCCCGCCGTGATATTGCTGGAATATTGCTAAAAGCGGCGTAAAACCAAACTCACTCACTCACTCACGCTTCGCCCAAGAACACCTCATCCTTTAAATTGATTGGGCGGTCTATCTTCACTCAGGGTTGGCCTGACGCGTTGGAGTTGTTTGAGATCTTGACGCAGACAGTAAAGTAGAGTACAATTATGCCTTGACAGCATGTGGTATAAAGGTGAGGTGTGGTGAAATGGGGTTTTATCGTCGCGTTCAAGATTATTGCACGTGTATATGTGTGCGCATGCGCGCGCGTGCGCGCGTGCGTGCGTGCGTGCGTGTGTGAGTGTGTATGCGGCTGCTAGTCCGGACTATTGCCGTCCACTGTCCACTGAGATACCATGCCGCAGGTTAACATGAATATCCTACACCACTCTGTCGGACTATACGGACTCCAACTCGACCAGTCCTTGTGTGCCAAGAGAGCGGAAGGTCGATAGTTCGATCCCCTGGCTCATACCAAGTTGGTACTTTCTGTAACTCATTATGGGTAAAACAAAGACTTGTTGGATCGGAGTCAGTACTATGTGTCTGAATGGGGTTTCCATGATAAACTGCCGCATGTTATCTGAATGGGTTACTACAAACAGCCAGACACGTGCATCCGCGTCGCAATATAGGTGAAATAATCTTAGCCGCGTCGTTAAATTCCATTTCATCTATCTTTACCTATCACTGCAAACCCCGAAAACGTCGTTTTTCCGTATATGATCATCAGACGGAAAAACGACTAAAATTCATTAAAATTGATTAATTGGTGAGCGTCTTATAGCTACACTCACTCACATCTTATAGCTACACTCACTCGCTCACATCTTATATCTACACTCACTCACTCACATATCTTATGTCTACACTCACTCACTTACACCTTATAGCTACTCTCACTCACTCACATCTTATAGCTACACTCACTCACTTACTTCTTATAGCTTCACTCACTCACATCGTATAGCTACACTAACTCACTCACCTCTTAAAGATACACTTAATAACTCACATCTTATAGCTACACTCACTCACATCGTATAGCTACACTCACTCGCTCACATCTTATATCTACACTCACTCACTCACATATCTTATGTCTACACTCACTCACTTACACCTTATAGCTACTCTCACTCACTCACATCTTATAGCTACACTCACTCACTTACATCTTATAGCTACTCTCACTCGCTTACATCTTATATCTACACTCACTTACTCATATATCTTATGTCTACACTCACTTACATCTTATAGCTACACTCTCTCGCTCACATCTTATAGCTACCATCACTCTCGTAAATCTTGTAGCTACAACCTTTTACATCTTATAGCTACACTCACTTACTCACATCTTATAGCTACACTCACTCACTCCTTATAGCTACACTCACTCACTCACATCTTATACCCACACTCACTCACATCTTATACCTACACTCACTTACATCTTATACCTACACTCACTCACATCTTATAGCTACACTCACTTACATCTTATACCTACACTCACTCACTCACATCTTATACCTACACTCACTCAGATCTTATACCTACACTCACTGACGTCTTATAGCTACACTCACTCACATCTTATAACTCCACTCACTCATATATTATAGCTACACTCACTCACATCTTATACCTACACTCACTCACGTCTTATACCTACACGCACTCACTTCTTATACCTACACTCAATCACATCTTATCCCTATACTCACTGACATCTTATACCTACACTCACTCACACACATCTTATACCTACACTCACTCACTCACATCTTATACCTACAATCACTCACACCTTATACCTACACTCACTCACATATTATAGCTACACTCACTCACATCTTATACCTACACTCACACACATCTTATAGCTACACTCACTCACATATTATAGCTACACTCACTCA